CGGGGGCGTCTCCCCGTGTGCCTGGAGCTTCAGGGCAGAGCTCGGGCCCCCTAGCCATATCCGGTGGTCGGTGGGGACCTGACGGGCCGGCAGGTGCGGCTTGAGTTCCCGATGATGGAGGCCCGGCGGGTGTTGCTCCAGCGCCTGGATGATGGAGGCCCGGCCTGTCAATCAATCTTCACTGGTGGAGGGTCTTCGCTTTGCATCAGTTCTGGAGACTTAAAAATTGAATTTGGCTTTATGGTATTGGAAGTCGACTTTTACAAGTGTGTGGATCCAAACTGGAGGACTGTAGTTCTTAAAAAAAAAAAAAAAAACTCCTGGAGTGGATGGCTTAGTCCTGTAATCCTAGCTACTCAGGAAGCTGAGATGTGAGGATCACGGTTCGAAGCCACTCCCGGCAAGAAAATCCATGAGACTCTTACCTCCGACTCACCACCAAAAGAGAGAGAGAGAGAGACAGAGGGAGGGAAAAAAGCTAGAAGTGGTGCTGTGGGTCAAGTGGTAGAGTGCCAGCCTGTGAAAAAGCTAAAGGAGAGAGAAAGGCCCTGAGTTCAAGCCCCATTACTGGCATAAATACACAAAAACAAACTTAAAGGATGCTCACAAAGTTTTTTGTTTGTTTCTGTTCTGTTCTCTTTCTTTTCCAGATAGTTTCAGGAATTTGCTTGTTCCAAGATTAGGATGGTGACTTCCTCAAAGGATGTCCAAAGCTGTATTTTAGTTGCCCGCAAACCACTTCTGTTAAAGGCTGTCAGTCCAAGTGCCTGTGAAGCAGTTGGATTTAATTTGTGGAGAGCTAAATTCCAGTGTATATGCACACACACAAACACACACATTTTTTGGAAGCCTTGATGAATTACAAATGAGCACCGGAGAAAAGCAGAGATTTCTCTTAGAGCTGTACCTCAGAGGAAATGTAGTTTAGTGAATATCACAGTTAACTTGCAGACCTATGGATAAAATTTACACATGATCATTACTAGTATTCTTATTTCAATATATATATATATATTTATTTAATTTTTTGTTTTTGTTTTTGGTGGTGGTGGTGGTCGTGGGGCTTGAACTCTAGGCCTGAGCACTGTCCCTCAGCTCTTCAGCTGAAAGCAAGCACTCTACCACTTGAGTCACAGTGACACTTCCAGTTTTGTGAGTGGTTTATAGAAGAGAAGAGTCTCACGGAATTTCCTTCTCAGGCTGGCTTTGAAAGTCAATCCTCAGATATCAGCCTTCTGAGTAGCTAGGACTACAGGCTTGAGCCACTGGCACTGGGCTCAAATATATTTTATTACTTTATTTTCTTGCCATGCTGGAGCAATCTCATGGCTTGTCACCTGAGTCATGCTCCATCCCTGTCCTAATTTCTTTTTTTTTTTTTTAATTTTTTTGCCAGGCTTGAGGCTTGAACTCTGGGCCTGTTCACTGTTCCTGAACTTCTTTTGATCAAGGTTAGCACTCTATCACTTGAGCCATAGCACTACTTCTGGCTTTTTCTGTGATTTAAATTGGATATGAAAGGCTTTCCACAGGCTCTCCTATATGGGCTGGCTTTGAACCATGATCCTCAGGTCTTAGCCTCCTGAGTAGCTAGGATTACAGGCATGAGCCATGGATACCCAGTTAATTTTTTTTTTTTTTTGGTCGGTCGTGAGGCCTGAACTCTGGGCCTGGGCTCTGTCCCTAAGCTCTTCAGCTCAAGGCTAGCACTCTACCACTTGAAACAGCAGCACCACTTCCGGCTTTTTCTGCTTATATGGTGCTGAGGAATCGAACCCAGGGCCTCATGCATGCAAGGCAAGCACTCTACCACTGAGCCACCTTCTCAGCCCCCAGTTAATTTTTTGTATCTGTAAAGGTGAACATAAACACTTTGAATTGCTGAGATTGAAGAAATGCTTTTGTTAACCTTGTGTTTTTTATTCTTTCTGCTTTAGGAGGAAAATAAGATTTTGTTTTATCATCCAAATGAAGTAGAAAAGAATGAAAAGATTAGAAATGTTGGATTGTGTGAAGCTATTGTACAGTTTACAAGGTAATGCCTTCATGGTGCTTTTGTAAAGCCCAGTGAATTCTTGTCACTTACACCTGGAGAATTGTTCCAAACATGTTCTTTGAACTTTTTGTTTAGGACCTTTAGTCCATCAAAACCTGCAAAATCTTTACACACACAGAAGAACAGACAGTTCTTCAATGAGCCGGAAGAAAATTTCTGGATGGTCATGGTATTTGCCACATAGTCTGTCTTGTTCGAAGTTGCTAATTATTGTTAGGAATTTCGGTAAAATTGAGGTGTAAAAATCAAATTCCTGTCCCATTGTTCTTAGGGCTGTTGTAAGAAATTGTGTTTCTAGGGTGGTAGAGTGCTTGCTTCTCATACATGAAGTCCTGAGTTCAATTCCTCAGTGCCACATACACAGAAAAAAGCCAAAAGTGGCACTCTGGCTCAAGTGGTAGAGTGCTAGCCTTGAGCAAAAGCAGCTCAGTGACAGTGCCCAGGCCCAGAGTTCAAGCCCCAGGACTGGCCAAAAAAAGAGAAAATAATTATGTTTCTGATGCTATAACATGTTCAGATTTTATTTTTATACATTGCTGGGTATTGAATTCAGGACATCAAGCATGCTAGAAACTACCACTAAGCTGCATTCTCCCCCCCCCCAAATGTTTTCAATTAAAGCAGTATCAAAAACATGTAATCAATTTATGGTATAATTTCAGTTTATCAAACTTTGTAGGTTGTTCGGAATCCTATCATTGAAAAGCAAAGTAAAGATGGGAAAGCAGTTGTTGAATACCAAGAGGAGGAGCTATTGGTAATGTGTCATTTTTCATCATTTTAAGAAAACATGTTCTGGATATATAGTGACTTAGCTACATACTAGGTGGCTTCCACAGAAGGTTCTTGGAGGGTATAGATGGTTCTATGTTCATTGTTTACATGAATGCAGTCTTCTTACATGCACTTGTCCCGTCACAGTACTTCCTTCTGTTTATTGGTCATCTGTGTGGAAAGCCCTTCTAAAATGAGGCTTATGCAGTTTTGTGTATTTGAGTTTATTGGATACCACTTCTTTCAGCACACAACGATTCCAGGACCGCATTTATAATTATTATATTGCTTTGTTCTCATTTGTAGGACAAGGTCTATAGCTCAGTGCTACAGCAGTGCTACAGCATGTATAAGGTAGGCATGACTTTTTTTTTTTAAACTGAAATACTGTTCAGTTTCCCACCTTGGCCTCCCCCCATTTACCAATTCAGTCATTGGTTAAAAGTTATTCTTTGCTGGATGCTGGTGGCTCACATCTGTGATCCTAGCTATTCAAGAGGCTGAGATCTGACCATTATGGTTTGAAGCCAGCTCGGGCAGGCTTCACCAGGTGGTGAGGGGCTGAATTGAATAAATTAAAAGGAAAACAGCTTGTTACACTTGGAAGTTGATTGGCATAGGAAATTGATATGTTGCATGGTATTTTACACCATTAGCTTTTCAATGGGACATTTCTGAAAGCTATGGAAGATGGAGGTGTCAAGCTTCTCAAAGAAAGATTAGAGAAATTCTTCCATCGGGTGAGTACTGTGCATTTGATTCATCATTTGGTAGCATTCACACACATGTTACAGGAGGAGAATGCAGATGGAGGTATGTATGTTAGTAGTGGAGTGCGTGCATGTGGCCCTGGGCTCCATTCTGGACAACAGAAAGAACAACTCTGGGGAGAAATAGCAATGCACTCAAGCTTGTTTTTCATATACAGAACCTCAGGACTAGAAAGTGGCAAATAGCCTGCACAGTCCTGTGGCAAAAGCAGAGCATGGAGGCACTCTGGGCCTGTGCTCTCCAGGCCTGCACTCTGGCAGCTCTCATTCAACCTGTGTATGGAGCAGAGCATCCTGCCTCTACCCAGTACTCTTGGAGGCATCTTTGGGCTTTGTCCTTCCCTGCACATCCATCCATGTAAACTACCTACTCAAAAGTGGTCCTATTGTGTGGTGAAATACTGATGAGCAAAACTTAAACCATTACCAGAGTTGCACATTCTTAGGGGTTGGTTCTTTTCTCTAAATAGGTAAAATCTCTGCTGACCCAAGGAAAAAGCTTTTGGAACTGGCATGGTGGTATACACCTGTATTCCCAGCTGCATGGGAAGTAGAAATAGGAAGATCTGGTCCAGGACCAGCTTAGGCAAATTTTGAGACTGTATCTGAGAAACAGAGCAAAAAGTACGAACCACCACCAAAAAAGGGAGAAAGCATTTGACGACATAGACTGTTGCATTGGTTGCTAGTGCATTGATTCATGCTCTCATCCTCATTCATCTCCTGTTGTCCTGACAAATCTTCAGGATAGCCCTGCTGCCCTGAATACTGTGTGGGTTGCTGAGGAGCCCTAATAGGATGCTTAAAGGCAAAACACACTGGGTAGACACTAGTTTGATGAAACATTTTCCCTCTGGCTATACTATAGTTTGAGCTCTGGTCTAGTACTTGCTAGGCAAGTGCTATACCACTCAAGCCACCTTACCTGCAGCCCTTTGTTTTGCTTTTTAGTTATTTTTGAAGTAGGATCTCATTTTTTTTGCTCAGGGCCAGCCTAACAAAAGATCATCCTACCTATGCCTCCCACATGCATAATACCACCATGCCTGGCTTGTTCCTTGAGGTGAGGTCTTGCTAACTTTTTTGTCTGGGCTGGCTTTACTGACATTTGTATTTTTTAAATTGGTATGGCTTTTTAGTCCATTTATTCATGGCTTGGTCTTATATGCCATTTGTATGTAAGTGTACCTTAGATATTATTAGTCTAATAGAGCATTCTCAACTGTCAGAATACTGTATTATTAGTAAATTTTGTGCCATGTTTTTTTTTTCAGTATTTGCAAACACTCCACTTGCAGTCATGTGACCTACTTGACATTTTTGGTGGAATCAGCTTCTTCCCATTGGATAAAATGACTTACTTGAAAATCCAGTCCTTTATTAATAGAATGGAGGAAAGCCTGAATATAGTGAAATACACTGCGTTTCTCTATAATGACCAGCTCATCTGGTAGGTGCACTGAGGCTTGCGCTGAATTGGGGGGGTGGAGGGAACACACCCAGCATGGCCTGGGAGGCGGTAGAGCTCACAGGACCTAGGTGGGGAAGAGCAGGAAACTTCTACAGTACCATCTGCTATAAACCTCCTCAGCAGTGGAGCTTAAAATTATTTCATGTAAGGCCAAGTGAATGTCCCCATCACCTCGGGTTTAGGAATGCTATTTTTATTTTGCTATGTTCCAGAAAATTCAAAGAACTGATAAATGTGGAAAGCATCATTTTCATACAACCGATTTCTTTTTACAGTGTTAGGGATTGAACGTAAAAGGCTTGGCACTTGCTAGGCAGGTGCTCTTCCACTTGAGTCACAACCGCAGCCTTTTTTGCTTTAGTTATTTTTTCAGATAGAATCTGATTTTTTTTTTTTGCCATGACTTTGATCCTACTACTTACAGTCTCCCTCATAGCTGGGATCACAGGCATGGTCACCAAGCCTGTGCTTTACAGCTTTAGATGGGTCTTGGTTAATTCTTAGTTAGCTATTAATTAAAAATATAAGCCACTGTACCTGGCCCTTGAAGGACCTAAGTTTGGGGAGGGTTTTTTTTTTGTTGTGGTGGTTTTAATATTTAAGATAACCACAATGTATTTTTATTTGTTTTTTAATTTTTTTTTTTTTTTGCCAGTCCTGGGGCTTGAACTCAAGGCCTGACCTGGTCACTGTCCTTGAATTTCATTTGCTTGAGGCTAGCATTCTACTACTTGAGCTATAGCACCACTTCCGGCTTTTTCTGTTTATGTGGTACTGAGGAATCAAACCCAGGGCTTCATACATGCTAGGCAAACACTCTACCACTAAGCCATATTCCCAGCCCAATGTAATGTTTTGGTTGTTTTTGGTATTATTTTTTGTCGGTCAATGGGCCTAAACTTTGGGCCTGAGCACTATCCCTCAGCTCTTCAGCTCAAGGCTAGTGTTCTACCACTTGAGCCACAGCGCCACTTCTGGCTTTTTCTGCTTATGTGGTGCTGAGGAATTGAACCCAGGGCCTCATGCATGCAAGGCAAGCACACCAGTGAGCTACCTTTCCAGTCCCCAATATAATGCATTTTTATATCTATGTGTTTGGGATATTTTGGTGGGGAGGGTTTGGGGCTTGTGTTGTTGTGGTTCAGGGGAACAGAGCCTCACTATGTAGCTTTACTGGCTTCCAACCTTCAGTCTTCCTTCCTCAGCCTTCTGAGTGCTGGGCTTAAGTTGTGTACAACTAGGCTGGCTTTCTCTTCCTCCTTTGTATCTATGTTGGGATTCAGAGATTTAAAAACCCAAGTACATTTCTGACACCAAGGACCTAGTTCCCTTTGTACCACATAGCAGTATTTTTCTAGAAGGTGGTTGGAACACATCTGCTGCTGTAGAGTGGAATACATTTCCAGGCACAGAAGTAGTCCTACTTGCAATCAGCCCACGAATTGGGTGTGCTAGGATTTACTGTTCCAAGTGGCAGATAAATACTATCTCTAGGCACTGCAAGACAAAGTGCTGTTCCTACACCTGGGTTTGATTTGTTCCCTCCTGGGCTTCTAGTCCAGGAGTGTGGTGGGTCTTTCCATGTAATGTAAAGCAAATTGGTGGGCTGTGGCACAGAGTGAGACCAGAGAACAGTTCCAGGCTGTTCACTGCGTGCTTTTCTGATGTTTCAGGAGTGGATTAGAACAAGACGACATGAGGATTTTATACAAGTATCTCACCACCTCTCTGTTTCCCAGGCACATTGAACCTGAGGTAGGCGTGCCCTGTAAATGTAGGCTAAGGTGGAGACTGACACTTAAGTCTGTTTTTGACGTGTGACTGTCCAGGAGCTGGGTGATATAGTACACTGTTGTCAGTCTCCACACAGAAGAAATTGGAAGAGGACATTCCCTACAGACTGATGTCAGGCGATGTTAAGTGATGTGCCATGTGGGGAATTTCAATGACTTTTTCCAGTGGTGGTACTAGGGTTTGAACTCAAGGCCTCGTGCTTTTTCAGCAGCTATTTTGTTCCTTTAAAAGATTGCCCTGGGCTGGAAAGGTGGCTCAGTGGTAGAGCGCTTGCCTTGCATGCATGAGGCCCTGGGTGCGATTCCTCAGCACCACATAAGCAAAATAGAAAAAAGCCAGAAGTGGCACTGTGGTTCAGGTGGTAGAGCGCTAGCCTTGAGCTGAAGAGCTAAGGGACAGCGCCCAGGCCCAGAGTTCAGGCCCCACGACCAGACCAAAAAAAAAAAAAAAAAAATTTCCCTTTGCTCCTGGGTACTGGTGGCTCATAGCTATAATCTTAGCTACTCAAGAGGCAGCCTGGGCAGGAAAGTCTGAGAGACTCTTACCTCTAAAAGTATCAAAAAGATGGAAGTGAAGCTGTGGATCAACTGGTAGAGCACTAGCCTTGAGCAAAAGAGCTGAGGGACAGCATCCAGGTCCTGAGTTCAAGCCCCAGGACTAGCACCCTCCCCTCAAAAAAAAAATCATTAAAAATATCCCTTTGAGCCAGGCCTCAGTGGCTCACACTTGTAATCCTAGCTACTCAGGAGGCTGAGATCTGAGGATCACAGTTCAAAGCCAGCCCAAGCAGAAAAGTCTGTGAGACTCTTACCTCCAATTAGCCACCAGAAAATTGGAAGTGGTGCTGTGGCTCAAGTGGTAGAGTGCTTGCCTTGAGCTAAAGAGCTGAGGGACAGCCCCCAGGCCCAGAGTTCAAGCCCCACAACTGACCAAAAAAAAAAAATGTGTGTGTATAAACATGCATATGTATAGTGTATATGTGTGTGTATATATATATCCCTTTGCTATTGCATTTGGGCCCAACTCACTGGAGCCAGGTGGCACACATTTTTCAGTGCTACAGTCTAATAACGTGCCTTCAACCCTTTTATGCACTGGTTATTATTTTTGAGATAGGCTATAACTTCCTGCCCACACATATGCCTGGACTAGGATCTGCCTGATTTAGGTGTATCATCATAGCTAGGATGACAAACACGCACCACCACTCCCAGCTTCATCTGTTGAGATGGAGTCACATGGACTTTTTTTTTAGCCTGGGCTGGCCTCAAAACACAATTCTCTTGATCTCAGCCTCCCAAGTAGCTAGGATTACGGATGTGAGCTCAGTAACTCATAAAAGCAAGTACATTAGTTATAGGGTTAGAGTAGGGTGCAGTTATGACAATCAGGATTAAAATCAGTCTAATTCTTCTTGTACTTCAGAAACCCTTTTTGAGGGGGTATAGAGGAATATAGTAAATTGATAAGAACTCTATTGTTCTTAGAGCCAACCAGCAGACGGGAATGTTCTTTTTCTAAGCGATGAATATAAATATCTAATGACTTATTTCTCCACATTAATGTGTTTGCAGTTGGCAGGAAGGGATTCCCCCATAAGAGCAGAAATGCCAGGAAATCTTCAGCACTACGGAAGGTAGGACTTTGTTCTTGGATTTTCTAGTATTTTTTTTTGCCTCATCTTCAGTAAAAATGGAATCATAAACATTGAATTGCCTTGTGTTCTTGCTGGTAATAATCCACTAAACGAATTCATTGTTTCCCATGGGTTTAAATAGTTTCCTTATCACACTCTGATTTCATTTTGCAAATAGCCAGTGTCAGCAGATATGGATGTCTTTTGGCTAGGAATGCATTCTGATTATATATTCCTGTTTATAATTTACCTTGTTGAGTCATCTCTGTATTTACTTTCAAGATTTCTTACTGGACCCTTGAACCTTAATGATCCAGAAGCAAAATGCAGATTCCCCAAAATCTTTGTAAATACAGATGACACTTACGAAGAGCTCCATTTAATTGTTTATAAGGTAACAACTGTTTTTCCCCTCTGGTGTTAGAATCACTAGTAAAGTAAACCTTGTATAGGTCCCTAGTGATGTACGCAAACCTCTTTAAGTGTCTCTTGGAGATGTAGTAGAAGTTTTTATTGTAAATATCCAAATGGGTGCTGTTCTGTAGGGGAAGGTATGCTTTGAGTATCACTGGAGCCCAGCTCCAGTTTTCTTCTGATGTCAGTTTTGAGTACAAGAAAGAAAACTGGGCATCTGTGCTTATGTTCTTTTTTTTTTTTTTTTGGACATGGGGCTTGAACTCTGGACTTGGGCGCTGTCCCTGTGCTCTTCAGCTCAAGGCAAGCACTCTACCACTTGAGCTACAGCGCCACTTCCGGTTTTCTGGTGGTTTATTGGAGATAGGAGTCTCACAGTCTCTCCTGCCCGGGCTGGCTTTGAACCGCGATCCTCAGATCTCAGCCTCCTGAGTAGCTAGGATTACAGGCGTGAGTCACCGGCGCCTGGCTTTGTGCTTATGTTCTTTCTCACCCAAAACTTAACAAACAAAATGTAGTCAGGTGCCAGTGGCTCACACCTGTAACCCTAGCTATTCAGGAGTCTGAGAACTAAGGATCACAGTTCAAAGCTAGATGAGAAAGTCCATGAGAATCTTATCTCCAGTTAACTACCAAAAAGGCCAGAAATGGAGCTGTGGCTCAAGTGGTAGAGTGGCAGCCTTGAACAAAAGCAGTTTAGGACAGTACCCAGGCTCTGAGTTCAACCCCCAGGACCAGCATCAAAAGCCTTTACATTCAGCTGTAACTATAGCTGATTACAGTTCAAGAATACAGAAAACCAGTCCCAGGGAGAGGCAAATGTGGAAGCCATTGTGAATTCTTGTCCTCTTGAGAGTCCTATGGACAGTGTGGCTCTTGCATCTCCGGCAGACATGGAGGTATATGGACAGATTATCTCCAGGGAGTAGGCCCATTGGGCCTTCATGGCCTGAGTTCTTGTTGGCCATGGACAGAGCTGGTCCCACGTGGCTGGCTTTCATCTCCAGCCTGAAGAGGCTGAGCTGGTACTGCGGGAGCTCTGGCAGCAGGGCTGTAGTTTTCTTTCTTACATTATCTGCTTTTGGTACAGAAGTAACCCTTAGTGATGGAATGAGTTCAAAAGTATGCCCTCTTTTCCTATTTTTTGGAAGACTTGATATCATTAATTCTTCAAACATTGGATAAAATTCACAGTAGTGAATTTTGTATGTGGCTTTTTCTTTGTAAAAAGTTTTGTTTTTGTTTTTTGGGTTTTTTTTTTTTTTGGTTGTGGGGCGTGAACTCTGGGCCTGGGCGCTGTCCCTGAGCTCTTCAGTCAAGGCTAGTGCTCTACCACTTGAGCCACAGCGCCACTTCTGTTTTTCTGGTGGTTAATTGGAGATAAGAGTCTCATGGATTTTTCTGCTCAGGCTGGTTTGAACCGTGATCCTCAAATCTCAACCTCCTTAGTAGCTCGGATTACAGGCGTGAACCACTGGCACCCAGCTTCTTTGTGAAAAGTTTTTAAATTATCATCTCATTTTGTAGTATTAGGATTGAACCTTACATACAGAGCCTTACATATACTAGGCCAATAGTCTACCACAATATATAGACAGACAGACAAATGACCTCCCCGGCTCTCTATGGGTCTATCTTGATTTTATTTCTTCTTGAGGCAGTGTCTATAGGAATTTCTGTTTCTTGAAGTTACTCAGGAAAATTATAGTTAGTGTACAGTTTTTCATAGTCTTTTCTGGTAAAGTCAAGAGTGATTGGGTCCATATGTCATTATTAGCTTTCCTATCCAGGCTGGCTTTGAACCATGAATGATCCTCATGTCTCAGCCTCCTGATTAGTTACTAGGATTACAGGCATGAACCACAAGCATTCAGCTTTACTTTATAATTTTTAATTCCAATATCATCTTGTTTGTGGAAGTGGCACTGTGGCTCAAGTGGTAGAGCACTAGCCTTGAGCTGAAGAGCTGAGGGACAGCACCCAGGCCCAGAGTTCAAGCCCCATG